AAAATACGTAGTCACTTTGATGCCTGCAGAGTTATACTGCCTTGTTGTATATTAGTTCGTATAAACCTGTTAGAATTGGTCTTCAGCAATTCATGCTTTTCTTATGAGGCGAATAACGGGATAGGGTGGTCAGGCTCGCTGACTTGGTTGACACATGTCATTGTATCCCAATTGATAGTCACGTTATTGATCACTAGATTATCTGGTCCCGACTCCGTTATTTACAGACCGCCGCCATATAGCTGGAATATTGCTGAGTGCGGCATAAAACAAGAAATTATTGGTTTATATGCATTCTGTATACATAGTCGCTATTTGTTCTTTGTACATGAAAACTTTTAGGAGCGTTTTCACTCAGTCAAAGTAAACTTAGGCTCAGTATTATTCGTTAAACTGCTATACTGAGTCTAACAAAACCTAGTAGAAGGTCGCGTCAGCTGACCTTTTCAATTGACCAATCAGAACACAGCTTACCAAATCGCGAAAGCTGACATTCGCACATACCTTTTGAACTTTTACCTCGAAAAAAGTTTGTACCCGTACGATTCCGAATGCCATTCAATGCTATTTTCCGTACGATCGCTTCCGATTGATGCACATGGAACACGCCACAACAGTGTGTAAACAGTCGCTGACAATAGCGTTTTTGTCAATAAACGAGGATGTCAGCTTGCGGAAATATTAGCTATGGTAACCATGGTGCCGTTGTACAAAACAACCTTAGCACTAAGACTACCTTAAGTCTATGTTAAGGTATGGGAGTTACGGCCACCTTAGCGCTAAGATCGCTTTGTACAACGGCACCCAGGTCACCAGAAAGCCCTAAGCGTATATACTGCAGGTCAAATATCTGTGTTTTAAGCGAGTTTTCATCTGTTGAAAGGATCAGTGTCAGCGACCGGGGAACCCTAAACAGTAGCCGTTGTCTGATTGGTCAAATCCGTTCGTCCGTCTCGCATTTGATTGACAGTCATAGGTCTCTCGAAGGTTAGCTGAGAAGACTTTCTACTTGGGTTTGTTAGACTCAGTATAGCAGTGTAAGGAATAATACTGAGCCTAAGTTTACTTAGACTGGTTTTCACTAGAACTATGACTTTCTACGTTTGTGTCACGAAGACTGTGTACCCACAGATATTCTGTGTTCCACTAGAATTGTGTAACTTACACATAAAATGCAGCTGACAAACAAGAAAGAAATGTGCACAATTAACAGGTCTATTTTGCAAGTATGCATAGTTACATTTATGCTATATTAAGATATTATAGAGTTCTGGAAGGTACCACCACCCTGTGAGCTATTCTGGCTCAGGGATGTGGATAATTTTCTTGCAACGTTGACTCTTGCCTTTCATCTTACATTACATCTCAAGTAACAAGGCCCACCTTGTGTGTGAGGATCATTTAACCTGCAAGGCCTATTTTGCAAGATTGATAACTGTTACTGAGAGGTGAATACTAACATAACTTTCTTTATTGCTATAATCACTGCTATTGTAATACATTTGTTATCGATTTGTACTGATTTATGAACTTTGTTAATTTTATAATACAATTGTTGATTGTATCACATTGCTTTGTTGTGTGTTGGTTTCTATTACAAATACATTAAAGTTCTCCCTAGTTTAGAAAACTATCTCCTCCTGCCGGCTTATGTACATATACCAATTTTAAAATACAGAACCTGTAACCATAACCTACCTGTTGAAGTTGGCATAGCATTGATCGTGAAAACAGAACCAGTAATCTCTGTAAATCACCTGCTGTAGCAGATGAATTTCATTATTTATTTAAATGCCTAGGTTTTATTGAACAAAGAAAGAAATACATCCCATTAAATACTTATCTTTCCCTAATCTAATGACTTATAAAAAACTATTTTTGAAGCAAAATCTTGCACAGTCACAAAATTTAGCAATGGGTCAACTTAGTTGATAAAAGTGTGAAAAAGACTAAATGAGTTTATTGTAAACTGTAACTACTAGTATGTTGTATTTATATTGTAAAACTATAATTGTACTTTCTGCCGTCTTGCCTTTATGTATATGTATTGTAAGGGTTTTATCAAGGTTCTCTTGTACCACCAAGAGTGTTTTTTTTTAGAATAAAAGTGTTTGAGTTTGAGTTTGACACCCAGTTCTTTTACAGACTGATTCCAGGTTAACGTTGTAGTGTCAGCTTTGGAATCAGAATCTTGCGCTTATAGCTCAGGTCACACACGGAGACTCCCGAGAGTTTCCAGGACTTCATTCCTGCCCCACAACTACACATATGTGATACATGTTGCCTCACCTTAGGCAAGTAAGTTTGTTCAAGATTGCCTCTGTCCACCCAGCAGTGAATGGGTACCCGGTGGGATAAGTCTTATGACTATAAATGTTCTATTGTCTCACAGGCAGCTTGGATTAAACGGGTAATAATGTCCATTGGACAGGTCTGCTCCATATATGTGGCCTTATTATAACTCCTACACACTATTACTGTTGACATTAGACAAAAATACATTCATGACAACTGACTATTGTTACAATGCAATGTTATGAACTTTATCTGGATCTAAATTGAAGCAATGTAATACAATTACAACATATTAAGGGACCGTTTATAATTTATGGTTAGGGGGTCAGGGTGTGTGATGGTGAAGCATGTACAAAATACGTGACCTCCCCTGCATGTCATGTACAAAATCAATGACCCTCCCCCTTCCCATAATTTCTAAGCATAATTTTATGTACAAAATTGCTGACACCTCCCCTAGTATGTGTGTTCAAAATTGCTGACAGCTCCCCAGAACAAAAACCCCCAAAAATAAAATAAAATAAAATAAAATAAATAAAAAAATAAATTAATAAATCAAATCAAATCCAAAAAATCAAAAAAATCATCATCACCCACCCAAGCAATAAATTATGAACGGTCCCTAACAATATAATACAGTGCCATATAACATACTGTTATTATATGTCTCACATGTATTGTGTCCTTCACTTGTATTTTGTGTTTAGGTGCTTCCGTTCTTGCGTTAAAGGTCGATGTAGTCTTCCAAAGAAATGTCAAATTTAAGTTTGAGCTCTAAACTTCTGTTTTGTGGATTCCAATAATTGCGGTGGTGAGATATCCCCACACCGGCGCCCAGAATGGAGACAAGGCTGTAATTTATGGCTTCGTCGGTTGAAAAGTGTAATAGACTGGTTTATGCTAGGGTTGAAAATTAATTTTCAAAGTCTTCCAATTGAAGCTGATAAATGAATATTTTGCCTTCAGAAAGACGTTTTTCTACACCACGATCGTCTTGTAATTGCTCTCAGCCTTAAAGGATAGACAGCGATAGAGTGAAAAGAGTAATGAGTTAAAGAAGAAATGTAATTCTAGTTCGCCACAAGTACGCTGAATTTCACATTACCCTAACATCCCTCCCTAAACCCCAAAATCCTTTCACATCCCCTCCTTCACCCCCGAACATCCTTTAACATCCCCTCCTTCACCCCGAACATCTTTTAACATCCCCTCCTTCACCCCCCTTCAAACATCCTTTAACATCCCTCCTTCACCCCCTAAACATCCTTTAACATCCCCCTCCTTCACCCCAGACATCCTTTAACATCCCTCCTTCACTCCCACGAACATCCTTTAACATCCCTCCTTCACCCCTGAACATCCTTTAACATCCCTCCTTCACCCCCAAACATCCTTTCAACATCCCATCCCTCCTTCACCCCAGAACATCCTTTTTACATCCCCCTCCTTCACCCCCCAACATCCTTCCTTCACCCCCGAACATCCTTAACATCCCCTCCTTCACCCCCAGACATCCTTTAACATCCCCCTCCTTCATCCCCCTCTCCTTTCATCCCCAGACATCCTTTAACATCCCTCCTTCACCCCCTGACATCCTTTAACATCCTCCTTCACCCCAAACATCCTTTAACATCCCTCTCCTTCACCCCCAACATCCTTTAACATCCCTCCTTCACCCCAACATCCTTCTTTAACATCCCTCCTTCACCCCCAACATCCTTTTTGTCCCTCCTTCACCCCAACATCCTTTAACATCCCTCCTCCTCACCCCCCAGACATCCTTTAACATCCCCCTCCTTCACCCCAAACATCCTTTAACATCCCTCCTTCACCCCCCAACATCCTTTAACATCCCTCCTTCACCCCGAACATCCTTTTCAACATCCCTCCTTCACCCCAAACATCCTCATTCAACATCCCTCCTCCTCACCCCCTTTAACATCCGCCTTGCACCCACGAACATCCTTTAACATCCCTCCTTCACCCCAAACATCCTTTTTCGGTCACATCCCTCCTTCACCCCATCCTTTAACATCCCCTCCTTCACCCCCCACATCCTTTAACATCCCTCCTTCACCCCCATCCTTTAACATCCCTCCTTTCACCCCCCTTTAACATCCCTCCCCTCCTTCACCCCGAACATCCTTTTAACATCCCTCCTTCACCCCCTTCACTTCAACATCCTTTAACATCCCTCCTTCACCCCAAAACATCCTTTAACATCCCCTCCTTCACCCCCGAACATCCTTTAACATCCCTCCTTCACCCCCAAACATCCTTTAACATCCCCTCCTTCACCCCCAAACATCCTTTAACATCCCTCCTTCACCTCCAAACATCTTTTAACATCCCTCCTTCACCCCCGAACATCCTTTAACATCCCTCCTTCACCCCCTGAACACATCCTTTAACATCCCTCCTTCACCCCGAACATCCTTTAACATCCCTCCTTCACCCAGAACATCCTTTAACATCCCTCCTTCACCCCAAACATCCTCCTTAACATCCCTCCTTCACCCCAAACATCCTTTAACATCCCTCCTTCACCCCCAACATCCTTTAACATCCCCTCCTTCACCCCCAAACATCCTTTAACATCGGCCCATTTCTGGTGTTCCCCGCCGTGATATTGCTGGAATATTGCTAAAAGCGGCGTAAAACCAAACTCAGTCAGTCAGTCAGTCCTTTAACATCCCCTCGCACACCCCCAAACATCCTTTAACATCCCTCCTTCATCCCCCAGAACATCCTTTAACATCCCCTCCTTCATCCCTCCCTCACCCCCAGAACATCCTTTAACACCCGCTCCCTCACCCCCAGACATCCTATAACATCCGCTCCCTCACCCACGAACATCCCTCCTTCACCCCCGAACATCCTTTAACATCCCTCCTTCTCCCTGAACATCGCCTCCCTCATCCCCGAACATCTTTTTAACATCCCCTCCTTCATCCCCGACCGTCCTTTAACATCCCCTCCTTCAGCCCCGAACATCCTCTCCCTCGCCCCCGAACATCCTCTCCCTCACCCCCGAACATTCTTTAACATCCCCTTCTTCATCCCCGAACAAACTTTGCTGAAGAACTAGCAACGTGGACCCACAGTTGATTGACAAGCTGCGACATTTGATTGACATATTTCTGAAAGAAAAGTTACTTTGCGTGTCAGCACAGAGGCGCTGACCGAAACATGTAAAATACATTTCCTAGGTTACGTTCACTCACAGGATACTAATTAGTCTTGTCTTTCGTGAACTACCATCGATATAAATAGACATCTCTGAATAATATTGAATTGCCAGAAAACATTATCGATCCCATGTTACAGCAAAGATGGCGAGAATCTATGAGAATAAAAACTAAAGTCTCAAAAATGACGTCTTGCTTTCTATGTCATTGTAATTATAGGGTACATATATGTTATATGTTCTTGTACTATGGGCCTGTGGCCTTCAGTTCTGAATAAAGATTGATTGATTGCGATAATTAATAACATTGCGATAGTTGATTTGTTTCAGATTTTTTAATTTAGTTAATTTTAGAATCACCCCTGGCTTTACTAACTGCCATGGTGGGAAGATGCAAGTTTGGTGGGGACTGTATCGTCGAGATATATTCTAGTAGCAGAAAGGTCGGACTGTGTTCATATTCCAAATAGCGAAATAAGAGACGATTATTTATTGTCGAGTTCTTTATAAAGAGGAGTTATATGGATGGAATTTTGAAGAACGTAATTTAGAAACATACTTTATGGATAATTCAATGTGATGTTTTTTAGGATCAGGATCAACGTACAAACTATGAATCGGTGAAGCACCAAGGCAAGGCCTCGGGCATGAGTGATAGATTGAATTTAATTATTCTAAATTGCTTTTAGAAGTCTCACCATAAATGTCAAGTTTTGAACGAATCAGTGCTTTATATAGTTGGATAAGGGTTTTCTAATTCCCTCCCCACTTTGAGTTGGAAGGAACTTTTAATAAAACCAATGCTTTCAGGCATTTGATTTTTTTCGATGTTTTACATCAGACCAATACAAAATGTCAAATAGGGAACGAAAATATGAACGAGAAACTTGGCTTGCTTTACAACTTTAATAAGGATGCCATCTGGTATCAATTTCGGGTCTTTGTGGAATTTATATGTTCGTCAAATGTGGATATAACTAGTTTTTACTTAGAAAATTTATATCTATTTTCCAAACACCATTTATCGATTTTTATTTAAACATGGTTGTAGTTACCTTTAAATACCAGTATTAATGTTTTTGCTACGAGTGGAAATATTAAAATCATCCCAAAAAACCCCGCGATCCTTCAATGGAATCATTTAAAGTTTTTGATAGACTGTGAATCCTAACGGTAAATAATGTGACAGATAAAATACTTCCTTGTGGTACACTCTGATCCTGATTATAATGACCCAGTGGGGCAAACTCCCGCAGACATGAACCTGTCTGTCGGTTATAAACTCGAATAAATATTGAGATCAAGTAAATCTTTTAAAATATCGTGTTCAACGTAGTGTCATATGCTTAGTTTGCTTACTGTGACATTTGTAAAGTGAGTGAGTGAGTTTAGTTTTACGCCACACTAAGCAATATTCCAGCTACAGCTGTATATGGCGGCGGTCTATAAATAAGTCTGGACCAGACAATCCAGTGATCAACATCATGAGCATAAATCTACGCAGTTGGGAACCGATGACATGTGTCAACCAAGTCAGCGAGCTTGAACACCTGATCCTGTTAGTCGCCTCTTACGACAAGCATGGGTTACTGAAGAACAAATGTAACCCGGATCATCACGGCCGGGATTGTAAAGAATGGCTCCACTCAACTAAATGCTTAATAGTACTGCGATCTTTACTATTTATTATTCTATTGTTTACCATGCATTCCATGGTTTTGCAAACGTAGTTGTCAATGAAATAGGTTGATTAGGTAGGGGTACAATTATGGCATCATACCAGGATGAAGGGAATTGTCTAGAGGTCCAAAAGTCCTCAAACTTATTTAGCCTGGTTTGAGATTTAGTACTCTGTCACGGACTTTACTATGGCAGCAAAATGGTCACTTCTGCAAAGGTCACCGTGAGCTGACCATGCAAATTCACTCAGTAAATTCGAATTTACAAGTCCAGACAAGAATAACTTCCAGTTCCCGGATGTAGATATGTGTCAGATCCATCATTAAAAATGCGTAGTTATTTAAGGAAAACGATCCTCCAGTACTTTACCATTTGTATTGCTGTCATTACTACCCCAAAGTGGGTCATGGCAGATGGTCCTCCAATGATAACACAGGGCTTAGGGAGTTGGTCATAAAGTGCCTGAAGATCAGACCGACGGAGACAAAACGGCAGTGCAATGTATAAAGAACACAGGGTAAGAAAAACATTTAATACTACTCGAACTTGAACAGTCTGAAGAGATGTATTTAGAGACACAGGACTGAAAAACTTTTTCTCACCAATAATAATATTGTTCTTGACACAGTTATACAGTCATCTGAAAACAATGAGAGCCCGGAGGTAAGTAATACCAGATTGACCGATGAGCCGTCGCTTCTCTGGCCAGACACAAAGACAGAATAGCGCAAAGACATTGCACATCCAACTGCAGCACACACGTACAAAGACTCACACATACACAAAGACACATGCACATACAGTACGCTCCATTCTAACCACACACACACACAGACCTACAAATTCAGGCACGTACAGGCACTCATATACACAAGGACACATGCACATACACTTCGCTCCATTCTGTCCACGCACACACATACGTACAAATTTAGACACACAAAGGCACCCATATACACAAAGGCACGTACACATACATTCCACTACAACACACACACACACACACACACACACACACACACACACACACACACACACACACACACACACACACACACACACACACACACACACACACACACACATTTAGACACTCAAAGGCACTCGCATGCACACACGCATGCACACTTCTGGGCCTGTCACGACCAAAGATACCGATACAAGCAGACACACCTATAACCGCCACCGACTATACAACAAGTGTAACTATTGAGAAGGAAATGATCAGCTTGTTACTGTTATTACTGATGTGATCACAACGGTTCGAACCCTTGAGGCTATAAACCGACATCAAATATTGCTATCTAAGAATAAAAATAGTTGAAAATAACGTTGACAATAGTTTCTACAACCCCAATCTCGACTTGTATTAGGGAGCAATTCCTTAGTTCGTAATCTGACTAAGAACCTTCTTATAAGTAATATTTGAGAGTACATTCCCAACTTTAAGCAAATTATTTTTTGGGGAGTGACAGAGGTGTTGCGTCCACCGCCTTACTTCCTCCCCCAACATAAGAAATTCACATTCTTTCCATTCAAACAGAGGTCCGGGAATCGAACCCACTTTCTCAAAGCCAGGCACCTAATCGCCAGCATCCATCCCAGATAGGATTCAACCCATCAAAAGTACTAGAATCGGTACTTTTCTGAAAAAGTGTAATCCCATATATAACATTTGTAACATGAGACCACTTTCTAAATGACATTGTTTATTCATACTCTCCAGCAAATAGTTCAGATGAGTACAGCTTTCATTGGTAAAACAATAGCACTGTCTGTCTGCGACTATTTTCAATCAATGCCTTTCGTTACGACGCATGCAAGACAAAATGGAGAAATGGGTATTTTTGTAGAACGAGGTTAACTGGAATATGAGTAGGTGGCATCTGTTATTCCTGTTCGTACGGCAGGCAGGGAACACACCGGTCACTCGTGTCCAATACCCTTGACCCCCGAAGGCGTGTCTTTGGAAACAGATTATCGTCTACCTGAAACAGTAATAGCCTTACTATCCATTTCCCTAAGTCTATTAGGCATCTATTTCTGCTTGGAAAAACAAGACTATTTTCGGCTCTGTTAAAGGTCATATATTACTGAAACACGGAGGAGACCATTGTAAACTTCGTTATTGTGCTACTGCCTATTACGTCACACGTGTCCACAAAATAATTGAGGATATTTCTTCGGTCGGATTCAACTCATTATTTACAGAGCCTTGGCAAGTTGTCCCGATGTAGTGCTTGGTAGTTTGGGCTTAATAACGACGTAGGGCGATTTCATATATATCCTTGACTGAAGGTAGAATAATTATACATATTGTCAGATACTGTTGTGTCGAAATTGAAGGGAGCTACATAAATACTTCGAGTTACCCGAGGCTCGACACACAACCCCTAAAACGATGTCTAAACACGTAGGGGCCAAGCTTTTGATTTGGGCATTGATAGATCCGTATCATTGGTGTCACTGTTCTGACAATCCAGAAAAAGACACAGCTGACAAAACAAATCCTCTTGAAATCTATCCAAGCCTTTGAACACTACATGGCCTTTAGGAGTTGTATCAAGAACGTGAGTCGAGTTTAAGTGAGGTCAGAGACAATTAAAAACATTGCTAAAAAGCTGGATGCATTTACACTGGAACAAGGTAGTTTTTAACTCTGTGAAGAATTATCCAATATATTTCCGGTTTTGGTGAAACAAAACAATAATATACGTATATTGCGAGACTTGAAAGTGGAAACTTTCAAATGTGTTAGAAATTACAAGGAGCCTGAAAAATAAATCTGTAGTCGAAACAAGTTGGAGTGTGTGAGTGAGTTCAACATGAAAGGCGGCGCACATTATTGGGTATCGAATCCAGGTTCTCAACACACATCACTTCACCCCAACATTCCAAATAAATACATATTCAAGCCAGCCAGCAAGGAAGCAAGCAAAACATGCATAAAAAGTAAC